CATAAAACAGAATTTAAAGCTGTGGTCTAAACTCTGTATCACGCTAACACATGCATGTTACATCATGGAGGCACAAGCACTGCACTCCAGTGCAGCTAAAAGGCACAATAACTTTTTCAGGAATGCAACGCCCAGTTGCGCAACTCGGGTAACATGCCCGTACTGCCAGGCAAATGCACATCACATGCATTGTTATGTTTCAGTGCCATTCATTTTCTATGGCACCCCAATGCATTTAGGGAAAGCACAGCCCTTGCAGTGCAACATATGGTAACAAATTATCATGCTTTGAGACGTGCGGCATTGCAACAATTGTCCGATTTTTTTGGATGTTTTGGTGCACTGGCAGTTTATTCATTTAAATAGGCTGCCTTAACGCAACACACTTAACATCCTCAAAATTATTAATGGAACACACAAACACTATGGTGTGAGTGGGCCCTTTGCCATTTAAAATATATGGCACCACAGTGAACCAATGCACATAACGTGCTAAGGCAATGTGGAGATGTGAAAGTTACTAAGAGATTGAAAACACTTGCTGTGTGTTTACATCAGAAGTCTGGCAGGCTGCCAAGATTCTGGTGCAATAGTAAGTAATAAAAAAAAGATCTAGGTTTCAATGCCTCTGTTTTGAATTGTGAAGATTAATTTCTCCACAATGCCTAGCAACAAAGGTGAATTTGCTTTCAAATGCTTTTACTACTTGTTGAAAATATGTGAATACTTTGGACTGCATAGTGTGGGCACAGGTTCAATGGGAATTATATCAGGGGCCAGAGCAGTTTTTTTGTGTTCTACAATACCCTTTGGAAGGGTCACATGCTTCCCCATACCCAAAGGCTCTGGCTGGCAAATAGGAGCACAAGGAAGCTATTATATCAGGACAGGTGGACTATAAAACAAACCGTTACCTTGTCCTGAATGTAAGCAGGGCTAAATCGCAATTATATATTTTAAAAGGGTACTAGGATAGTGAGTTCCCACACATTTCCCCAATATTGTTCATAGTATAGCATATAAATAGATAGTCAGAGCCAGATCAGCTCTAGCTAATTCCTTCTTGCCCCTGCAGTAATCCAGGTGGGAAGCACATCTGTGAAATGTTTGGAACCTGTATGTCAATTCACAAATGAGTATGCACATGTAGGCAGATGGCGATTATGGGGGAGTGGGGGTAAAACAGTACATACAATGCAAATGGGGTATATACACTGAGTGGCCAGTTTATTATGACCACCTGACGTTTGTAGGCAAATTAGTTATAATTAGCTATAATTTTCGCGCTGAAGTTGCTAGAGGGCCAGACCATTATAAATAGGGAAGCAGGTTGTTTACCACGACAGTAGAAGTTATCTTTTTCTGAAGATATGGGTAAACAACGTGATTTAACAGCCTTTGAACGTGGGATGATTGTTGGCGCGAGCCATGGAGCAAGTATCAGCCAAACAGCAGAATTCGTTAAATGTTCAAGAGGGGTTCATTGTTAAAGTGTTTAAAGACTGGACTGTCAGCCAAAAATCTGGGTCTGAACATGCAAATTGTGGCAGTCAGCGACTTGTCAATGTTAGGGCAGAGCGGAGAGTGGCAAGACTGGTACAAGACAACAGAAGGGCAATAGTGCAGTGTCAGATTCCTCGCATCACCTTTCAACATCTCGTGGAGTCACGAGGCGGCCCAACGAAGTACTGATGGGGTGGTCATAATAATCTCTAAATTCAGTGTATATTGCAATCCTTATCAATGTTCTGAGCTGGGTTAAGAGGGGAGACCACAGATGAACCATGTCAAATCCCCTGCATGCATTATGGGAAGGACTGGACTCTGATTTGGGAATTGTGTCTCAAAATGTAGTTTTTATTTTAGGTAGAAAACTCTGTAAAATCAGTACTTCTTTAAAATTAGGATACATAGGACATACAGTATATGCTTGGTTTTTGCTTCATAGTCAGTGACCACAGCAGGAGGACTTCCTTACCCACATTTCCTCCTGAGACTGCCATGCCTCCTCCAACCCCTGGTTCACCTGTACCCCCCTAGGCCTCCTCCCACCCCAGGCACACCTAAAACAGCAATGGCCATGTGTAATTTCTCTCTATGTTCTTCTGTGACCTCCATGTTTACTCCTACCCCAGGCTCTCCCATGACAGCAATGTGTCCATCCACTCCAGGTCCATCTGTGACAGCCATGTCTCCTCCCAACCCAGGTCCACCTGTGACTGCCAGGTCTCTTCCCACTCCAGGTACACCTGTGACCACTATGTCTCCTCCCACCTGTTAAGGTCATGTCTCCTCCCACCCAAGGTCTACCCAAGACTGCCATGTCTCCTCCCACCCCAGATTCACCTGTGACTGCTATGTCTATTCCCACCTCAGGTCTATCTTTGACTGCCATGTCTTATCCCTCCCCTGGTTTATATGTGGCCATCATGTCTCCACACATCAGACATCCTGTGCCATCCATTGCACTAATGTAAGCTGAACTTCTCCTGTGAAGAAACCACTAGGAAGCACCATAATGCTAGGATCACCAGACCCTATTGTATTCCCCCTTAATATGTTTTAAAATGCACTTCAGAGACAGGGACTAAAAACTCAGCTAACAGAACTGTCCTGGCAGTTCCAGTCACACTGAGGTTGAAAAGAGAATGCCATGTCAAGGTTGCATATGACAATGAAAGCATACTCCCCACACACACACAACTAAAAATATGATGTTTGGGTAATGATCTATTCAAGGAAACATATATTTTATTAATAAATTACAAAATAATCAAACAAGCCTTACTACTGATACAATGATACAGTTACACAGCGAGCTGAACTGCTCCAATCTTTGCTCTCTATCTCTACTCTTTCATCCCCAGAAAGCAGAGGATACAATTTCCTGGTTATCAAAAACATTAATATGTTCCAGACAATGTCTCTGTGTAGTAATTAAACCCTCTGGCTATTCATCTTTCCCCCGTATGATACTCCATACAGAGATCACCAGTTCATTGCCAATTCACTGCATGGCAGCGATAATTTATGCTGAAAGGAAATGTTCTACTTTGAAAATGCGCACTGCAGAAAACCTAAAACTACAAAGTTGCAAGTATAAAACATTTAGAAACATTAAAAATATATACATATTCAGATTAATGTAGCAGATGTATGTACAATTAGTTCACAAAAACCAAGCCAGTGCACACGGTGCTTTGCATCATAGAAAATTTTAAACAGCTTTTTGTGTGTGGCCGGCGGTGATGCTTGCTAAATGCGACCATCGCAACGTGATTGCAGCTCAATATTGCAATAGAGAATCCCCATTGGGACAATCACAGATCGCTTTTCAGAGGAGCAGTGGAACTTACCACCCATCTGAATGAGGCCTTAAAGAGCCCAAGTCAAAAATCTCTCTTTGTTACACAGACAGCAAGGAAAACCTGACAAATATTCTGAGTAGACTTCAACTAACTTCCCGTTGGGGAGCACAACGGAAAATAAGTGAATCTACCTTAAGGGACAATAAAAGCTTGACAGAGATTCCGATCCTCCCACTGAAAAGATGTACAACTCAGCAAAGCAAAACTTTCATGAGGCGGTTTAAATGCGACAGCTGGGCGGGGTTTGGAGGCAATGGGCGGTAAACTCCGCCCAGCTGTCACATTTAAACCGGCTCATTCCCGCCGCCGTTAGAACATTCCTGTCGAGCTTGAAAAAGAGGTCTGAACCTCGAAACGCGTTGCTCTTGATCCCCCACCCACGACTACACTGACTCGAACACCCATCACCTTGTCAGCTTTTCGGCTGACTTTGACCCACCACACAACCAAGGCTCGGGTACTCGTCAAACCCCGGTCCACACACAGACCCAGCCGCACCATCCACAGCTGCAGCCACAGCAGCCCAGTCAGACACTACTCGTGTACACTGCCGGAACTTCACAACACAGCTGCGGGGACACGGACAAAATCCCTGTGCTGTCACCCGGCCCACCCCCCTTTCCTTTGTCTTCCACCTTCTCGAGATGAGCAACCCCCGGCAGCACGCCAGTCTCCATTGAGAACACATACCGTGGACTTCACGATCCTCCCACAGACTGGTCTTCATCCGATTTTCGGACCCACTCTAGTAAGTACACCATTTCCTTTTTGTCGTTCCCCTTGCAATGTTCAGCCCAGTCAGATAACCCTCCTTAGCTCTGCGCCCTCACTTTTGTTCTTTTTTGTCTTCACAAACACAGGCACTCCTCCTGTCCTCTAGGGCTGCAGGCTAGTTAGGGACACATACTTCCCAGGTAATTCCCACATACCATCCGAGAGCGCTGTTTGTACCGTTGTGCTTTTTAACTCTTAAATTGACACTAAACTCAGGAGTTAAATCTTAATGCATTCAAGTACCCTAACTATTAACAAAAATGTACCTTATTTGTGTATCACTGGGCTGTAGATCCTCAAATCATCTCTGAGTTCATGCGGACACTGTCCTTCCTTCTGGAGGGTGGCTACTTTTGTTCCCCATGGTCTCTGTGTGCGTTGTAAAGTAGCCACTGCTCCAAGCCCGTGATGGACTACAATCTCAATACAAATTGGCAAACTAAACATGAGGTTGCAGTCCATCATGGGATCAAGCTTGGAGCAGTAGCTACTTTACAACACACACAAGGACCTTGGGGTAGCCACCCTCAAAAAGGAAGGACAGCGTCAGCATGAATTTAGAGATGATTTGAGGATCTACAGCCGAGTGATACACAAATAAGATACATTTTTGTTAATAAATGGGATACTTGAATGCATTTTTAAGATTTAACTCCTGAGTTTGTCACTTTAATTCATGTGTTTTCTTATTTAACTATGGAATTACATATAATGGGTAAAAGCATGCTGAAAACCAAATTAAGAAAATAACTAAGTATTTATCCTTAAAAGGATTTAAAAAGCCTAAAAAGTCATGTATGTATGTATGTATGTATGTATGTATGTATGTATGTATGTATAAAATCAGAGGTCACCAACCTGGCTCAGCTTTTTTCTTTTGAGCATTCTTCTTTTTGGGAGCAGGTTCAGATTTTTGCTCTTCACGACTCACAACAGCTTCAGTTTTTTTGGTGGTTGGTGGACTTGACTGTGTTTTAGCAGACTGAGAGTTGGCGATTGGCTGGCTTGACTGCATTTTAGCAGACTGAGAATTGGTGGATGGAGTGCTTGACTGAGATTTGGCAGATTGAGGGTTGGTGTTGGGTTGGCCAGACTGAGATTTGGCAGATTGAGGGTTGGTGTTGGGTTGGCCAGACTGAGATTTGGCAGATTGAGGGTTGGTATTTGGTGGGCTTGATTGAGTTTTAGCAGACTGAGCATTGGCAACTGGTTGGCTTGACTGCATTTTAGCAGACTGGGAAGCGTTGGCTGCTTGAGATTTAGCAGATTGAGCGCTGGTGACTGGTGGATTTGACTGAGATTTAGCAGAATGAGTGCTGGTGGCAGATGGACTGGACTGAGTTTTACCCGAGTGAGTGGTGGCGTTTGCTGTGCTTGACTGAGTTTTGCCATTTGCTGTTGCGTTCACTTGAGATTTCTGAGGGTTATTGACTGCTGTGTTAGAGTGAGTTTTAGGTGGATGGGTGTTAAAGGCCGATGGGCTTGGCTGAGATCCGACAAGAGGAACTGCTGCCACATGAATTTCCTTAAATGGAGCCTCTGAAACTGGACTCTGCTTTGATACGGGCTTGGTCACAGCCCCCACTGGACCCTGGGATGGTTCAACCTTCTGGACCTTCTTTTCCTGCTTTTTCTTCTTGTCTTTAGGAGAAGGTGCTGTTTTCTCTTGAGCTGGTATAGTTGGTATTACAGGACTTTCCTGAACTCTTACCTCCTCTACTTCAACGTCACTGCTTTCCAGCTCATTTTCCAGAGTAGGATCCTGTTCAGGTATTTTCCCATTTGGTTTGTCATCCTTTTTCTTAGCCTTTCCTTTCTTCTCAGGGATTTTATCCTTCTTCTTCTTATCAACTTTTGGTTGCTGGCCTTTCTCTTGTTCTCTGCGCTGTTTGGCCAATGCTTCCTCATAGGAGGTCTCCTTCATAGAGAAGGTAGATACCAGGAAAATGCCAATGGCCGATATCACCATGAAACCTCCAAACACCATCGCTCCTAAAGTCTGAGGATCGTAAAAATCCATCTTGATTTTTCTCCTGGATATCTAACTAAGAAAGGAGGTAAAGGTTAGTGATGCATGTTAAAAAATAAAAACACTTTAATGAAAGCTATATCTCTATATTTCCCCAGCCACTCTAACCAAGCCATAAAAAGCCAGCTTGCTGATTTACATATATTGACAAAAACAAACACCCCAAGCAATCTGGATATGCATATAAGGAAAGTGCTCTAATGAAGGTCATTTTCAGAATAGGATTTTATTATTATTTACTGTGCTCAGGAAGTACTCTACACATTTGCATGCTATAAAAAGTACCTGATTACATTTGCATTAAGTTTGGCATATTAAGTCAGACTCTTCATTATTAAAATGTCATAACATTTTTAAATACAGATAAAAAGAACATCATTTTTCTTTTATCATTTATTAGTCTGTTCTGTAGGGGGTTTTTTTCCCATCCATTCATACTTAATGGAAATTAAAGTGTTTTTACAGCCAAAAACAAATATTTCATATACTACCGGTTTTTTTTTCACTTTATTTTTAGCTGGTGATGCAAGGTTTGCTTTTAGTGCACACAGCCAGCTACACAAGGTGATCTGAGCCATTTACTTATTGCTTATCCTTTAAATATGTATACACACAAGTAAGACGTTTCCTTTTCATCTTTATTCTCTACAGGAAAAGGGAAGGCAAAAGGGGTAATATACTACTACATGAGTAGTACATATGCCAACAGTACACAAGTGGACCTGAACTCAGAAACTTAAGATTTGCTGTCTTATCGGAACAATCTAGAAAAGTTAATTGTGCCTAAAGAATACCCAGAACAATTTAGATTTTGTTTTAAACCCCTCCTGAAAAATAACCATGCAAATCTTGTGCCTAGGTATTACTCATCTATGGAGCATGAAATCTAAGGCACTGATGCCTCTGACTGAGCTTTGACGATGTCAGAACCATAGTGTTCACTGTTCTTGCTGGAGCGCAAGCTGCACCTGAGCACATGAAATGCAAGGATCTCCGTGCTTTTGCTTAATTTATTATGCGGATCTGGGCTTCCTTCAGCTCTTCTCCTGCTTTCTGAACATTGCACTACCAGTTATCAGGAAAGCAACTCTGAAATGAGGAAGTAAAGCCTGCCTCTACCAAGATGGCTCCTTCAACATAGTGCAGGACAAGGTGTGGGCTTCTGCATTACCTTTTTTGGGTGCAGGGAATCTTCAATGGCTCAGGTCCTCTTTAAATTAGCGTACTAAAACTTGCATAGATCACATGAACTTACATTCATAGTCACAGTCTGCATAGTCACTATGCAGTTATGATCCCTGATCCTGTTATTGACTCAAATAAGGTTCCTATTACTTTAAAAGCCAATTGTAGCAAAATGAAATCCAGACCCATCTGTAGTACACATGTCCCAGTAATAGGAAGCGTTAGGAAATCGGTCACCACAAGCAGACTTGCAATAGACTTTTGCCCATGCAAACATTTATATAGGAGGCAACGAAGGATATTAGTTCCAAATACATACTGACCTGTGGGATCTTAAAGGAAGCCTGCATAGAACATGGAGGCTGCCATAATTCTAAAAACAGTAGTCTGCTGGCTGTCTTTGACTTTAATATGTTCTGCATCCAGACTCAGGACAATCATGAAGATCAGGAAAGTCAGAGTAGGACAGAATCTCCAATCTGCATACTTGTTCCTGACTGCTGACACAGAAAATACTAAGACCACTGATTTAGCATAACAGGCTGGCAACTAGAATTCTTAGTAGCTGGCTCAAAAAAAAACAACAAAAAAAAACCTAACATTCCTCCATCTACGCTAATACGTATGGATTGAAGGATCCCCCAATGCGTCTATTGTATTCTGACAGAGAGGTGTATGCCTTTCAGAATGCCTGAACATTAACTGCAGTTGATTGGTTGAAGTCACTGATTGGTGTGAATTTTGTGCCTGGCTCCCTCGATTTTGGGCCAGGATATCTGGTGGGAGGCTGCCGGAAGGGCCATCCACTTAGCAAATTTAGGCCAATTCTTGATAAACCTTCAAAAATTTCAGTGCATGGCCAGCTTATGGCAGGAAGTATGTTGATGCCTGAATCACCAGTTTAAAATAGGCCTGGAAAAAAGAAAACTAATGAAGCCACCACATCCAAGGACCAGTAGCCTACAATATATCCCATTTTTAATCATGGGTCTATATACACATTTTAAATCAAAAAGGTGCTCCTCTATGAAAATCAAAAGATATCTACAGCTACATGGATTTTTATTAGTTTTATGCACTTTTCCATCAGTACATGTTCTTTTTTTTTTTTTAAAGCTTTCCAGCTGAGGAGCTGTATCAGCCTTTCCAGTTTGCATACTTTTTTTTTCCTGGACAGCAGTGTTGGCCTATACGGGAAACTCAGGGAATTTTCCTGACAATAAAACAGTGGAGGCTCTGTGCCGTGTCTGCAGACAGACTCTGGTGGCAGACATGTCTGCCAACACTGGGGCTCTTTTAGCAGGCAGCCAAAACAGACACAGCCTATTTTACATGGGACCCGACCTGCCACTCAAATATTTAGCAGGAAAAATGAGATTTGGTATCCACAAGCATTTGAGATGATTTCTCCAGACAAATGAAAAAATAGCAAAGTCCTATAGTTTCAGTGGTGCTGGAATTTTGAAATGCAGTATGAACCTTGGAGAGAGAAAGTGGTTGCAATATAGAGCAGGATAATATGATTTTGCTTAAGGCACTGGGGTGCTGATCTACTAAACCTAAACAGATCACTAAAATTAAACCTAACGTCTAAACCTGATACTTAATATTGAAGCTAAACTCTAGGCCAGGAGTGGACAAATTAATATGGAGTCAGTTTGTCTAATACAGGAGCCAGAAGAAATTTTTTTAGCAGCCAACTTAATTGACAACAACTAGAGAAAGCCCTTAAAAATGATTTAGGCATAAGATTTATTAGCATGGGCTACATGGCTCCTAGGATTTGTCCAGCCCTACTCTGGCCAGATATAAAAGACACAAATAAATAAAGTACTGTAATCAGATATTAAAATTAATACACCAATAAATGTCATCTTTAAATGTAAGCAGTATAACTTCCTATATTTGACCCAGTATCAGCCTTTCACAATCCCTGTACATCAGGACTGGAGTGCAAGAGGCAGAAGCAGCACAAGGAGCCAAATCAGTTAATGTGCTGGAATTCTAAAAAGAAGAGAAGGCAGAGTAAGAGAGAGAGATGAGCTCATCACTGTGCTGCTCCTCCTTTCACTGTCCAGTCACAGGCTGGGGTGGGTCCAGGATGACCTGGGCTCAGAGAAAGTTGGTTGAATGATGCTGGTCATCAGACAGTGGCAGCAATAAGGTACTGTAGGGGAAATAGTTGTACTGAATGTGAATATTGCTTTTAAATTTTATCTTGTTAGTTTTGGCTGCAGTTCTTCTTTAATATGCAAATATCAACTTCAGGAAAAGTCATTATTTGCATAGTTAAAAGCAACCCCTTTGGCTATACATAAAATACCCAGCAAAGCTCTCCCTTTAAGAAGGGAGTTGCAGAGGATAGGGGGAAGCTCTAGAGAAAGATGAGGGAAGTCTTAGGAGGACCGAGGAGAAGGGTTTGTATGTTATTTTTAGTATTTTTGAACTGAATTCATGGGGTGACTTGAAGTCAGCAGAGGCATTGGCAGAGGGGGGTGGCAGACACTAAATAAGTCTGGCACCAGTATTCATTATAGACTGCAGGGGGATAGTTTGTGTAGAGGTTGGCCAACGAGAAGGGAGTCGCAATAGTCCAGGCAAGAGATCACAAGGAAATGAATCAGTAGCTTTGTCATTGGTTAACAAGAGTCATACTTTGTAAATGTTATGGAGGTGAAGGCAAGATTTAGACAGCCACTGGTTTTGGGGATGAAAGGAGAGGTCAGAGTCCAGGATTATACTGTGCATCCTGGCATGAGGGGAGAGGGATAATTGTGTTATCTACCTGTAATCTCAATAGAAAAGTTGGGGAAGGGGCTGGCGGGGAATATTATCAGTATTATAAGCTAATTTTTTTGAAAGACTGGTGTCAATAGGATTATATAGGGCAATTTGCAGTATGCAAGTCTTTTCTCCGACACACTGCAACCCAGCACAGTTTGAGCTCATAACAGGTTTTTATTTAAAGAGAGAACAGTAGTTGTTTGTATTTTAATCTATGAATTTAAAAAAAGGATGCACCATATATAGTATTTACTACTAGGCCTACTATAGTACAAGATGTCTCCAAATATCCTTTGTTATATCTTTTACAAATGTAGCTTGTATTCTGGCTTCTAGTATAATACAGATTGATACAACCCTACAGGAGCGGACCAGAAGCTGGAAATATTAACGACGTGTCAGTAACAAGACTATAAAGTGCTGCCCTCCTTAATGTAGACCTTTGTCTTTTACGATGTAGAGTGAAGTCTCTGAACATGGAGCTGTACTTGTACTGTGCACTGCAGATAATTAAGGGGTCCCCCGAGACTGAAGCAGCATTATATTTAATTAGTAACCTAGCATTGTAAGCATTCTCAGAGCGGAACTGCTAGCATCAGAAAAGCTCACAAAGCAAAACTAACTTGGATATGTATTGATACCTGGTTACCATCAACCTTAGAAGGCATGATTTATGGATATTTTTCAGGCCCCATTCAATCATTAGAAAGGTCTGTTAATGCCATATTTGCCCACGTGCCTGCAGGTAAATTCCCAAGTCTACAATACAAGCAGCTGCAAAGTCAGGGATTTTGCATTCTGTATGTATAGGATCCAGGTCAAGTCTAACCTTACCTATTATCCTATACATTTTCCAAGGTAACATTAGCCAGCACCAGTTAAAAGAATATTGTAAAATACACTTGTAGTTTATCCACTTTCACATCTGAGCACTGCAGCATGAGTTCTACCTTTGTAAACAGGTTAACCTCCAGTATGGGCATTACAGTTCTTTTCTTATTACTCAATCTAATCAAAAAGTAATTAGGTATCTTGATAAGGTA